TAAAATGAGACATAATAGTAAGAAAATTATATATTTATATCATGGCTATAGAAAATAGTAGTGTAAAATATAAATACTTGGAGAAAATCTAAAATCTCAAGTTTATTCACGAATAATATAAAACATTTGTTGTCAACAACAACTGCAGTTGCGTTAATATTCCCGTTTTCTGGTTGTTTTTTGCTTGATTTTTCCAAATATAAAGAAAAGATTTGGTACATTTGTCATCAGAAATCGCCTTTAATATTGAGCATTGAAGCATTTGTTCTGCTCCAAAACGTAATTATTATAGATACAAAAACAAAAAACACCCACCTGCACGTGCACACACCCACTCACACTTACATCAAAAACCCATAACTATAGGTATGAGGTATCGTAGTAATTCGAGTTTCGTAGTAAGGAATCTAACAAAATTTCTTTCAATTTAAAAGTCTTAAAATCTTAAGGATACGGATTTAATTGAACAAAAACAGGAAAAACAGGAAAAATACCTGTTATAATAATTGATACAACCGTATAATATTACCGTTATAACCCGAAAAATATTAAAATATCAACATGTTGATACAATAAAGTCAAATTGTCAACATAATTTAGTGAATATTTTGGAGCAATATTCCTACCATAATAAGGCAGATATTATTAAAAATGCAACTCATGTTTTGATGTATTCTCGCATACCTGCAATAGATTTCTTGATCTACTCAGAATCTAAAATGGTTATAAGGCCTTAAGAGTTTAACTTTCGTATGCTATAATTGAGTTATCTACTTTAAAAAAATGAATAGTTCACGGTGTTTTATGGTTTTTTCATTTCCCAATACAATGAGATTAGGTTCATCGCTGGTGACCCACATAAATATGTTTGAACATATATGATAATGATTGCCAAATTCCGTACAGCACCATAAGGATGACCCATAAAAAGGTTATACTCCATTATTGAAAACTTTCAGTGAACACAACTAAAGGAATAATCTGGGGGGACATTTTTTTTAAAATTAATCTATGATTCAATAACATTGGTAGTTGTAAATATTATAATTCAACTATAAAATACTATTTCATAATAAAGGCGCATATCGCCTATTATTTCTACGTATTTAGTTTTAATTTATAAAATATAGTAGGTACAATATTATTGTTATTCTCGGGAATTTTGTTTTCAACATAAATAATTAAATAATAATACATCATTAAGAATAATGATGGTTTATTGGTAAAATAAATAATGTAATAGTTTGAAAATAGTTTTTTTTTCATTCGATAACCTTATAGTTCAGGATTATTATAATCATAAGTTTTAATTTTACAGTAATAATTCGTATAATTCTAATGTAAAAAGTATTTTACTATTTAAAAAAAAGATTTGACCTTAAGGTCGAAGAACTTGGAACTACATTACTATATAGTATATACTATACCATACATAATATTTTAGCTAATATTATATTATATTGTGATGACTGACTTGATAGTCACACGCGTTCACTGATATCATGTTCAACTTAAACTATTGTTCAAACACAATACTATAATTTGTAGTTAATTTGTAGGGTATATTGAGTATGTACCGTGTATTATTTAATTAAAAATTTGAATACAATCGAGAATCAAGAGAATATTATTTATGCCAGTAGGTATATATATTTTTTTAATAGTAGTTATTCAATTCTTTGTACTGATTGAAATGACTATACCTATAGTAATAATATAAAATGAAGATGCGTTTAACTGCGATTTAATATTTTTGAAATTATTTATTTAACCGTTTTTTACGCTAAACACGTTTTTCCTTTAAATACTCACATTCTTATATCTCAACCTCGTGTTTTATCATAACAAACAACTTGATATAATTAATATTAAATTTCATTGTCATACGATTATTGTACGTATGATAAATACGGTTATTTAAAAATGAAACACGTAAATAAAAAGTTTTAGGTTCACGAATCATATTATTGGCCAAAAACTGAGAAGGTATTATTGTTTATTCGTACATCTTTTTAAATTTCACTTATTTAGGTGCTCTCGAAGCACGTACGTAATAGGTCTAAATGTATGCCGCCAATAAACATGTCAAACTATACCTAAACACCTACCTTGATTTCACTTGTTTTAGTAATTTAATCATATTATTTTAAGGATCTTCTTGTTTTTAATTAAAAAGCAAGTATTCAAAGTTAAAAAACTCGTTGATTATGTTGAATTCATTCAAATGACTATATACTTCTATAATACACGCGATATGCAGATTTACATATTACATATAAGTACATTATATTAGATATTTTAATATTTAGATAGATACAAGTACCTAATGGTACACATAATGAACAGGTTTTAATTTTCCTATGAGTACATTTTATATCGGTCTACATTTTAGAATAATATGTTTTCGATAGTTAACCATATCTTCTAATTGCATTAGACAAATAGAGATATTATATACGATTGTATATTGATATTTTTTTTTGCAACCTATATTTCTAAATGAGTCTGAAAGTAAGACATTTTAATTACAAATATAATTGTAATAAATCTGTTAAAAATGTGAGCATGCATAGGTATTGTATATCAGTGTTTGGAAGGAATGAATTCTAAAAGGAACGGATTCCTGGAACGAATTACTTTTTAAGAAATAACACAATTAACGAATTCCTTTTTTTTTTAAAAAAGAACGAGAAGAGGATGTGTAAACAATTTAAATTAAAATTTTTTTTTTCCTGGTGTGATTATTACCAATTAGTGAACGTTATCGAGTATCAAAGTTATTCGTATAATATAATATTAATTTTTAAGGAACGGAACGAATTTTTTTTATAAGAAATTTGTCCAACACTGCTATGTATGTATGTATATTGTATATATAGCTTTGGAACGCCTAGAGAATTTCAAACAAACTTGTATGCACTACACTCTTTGTTTCCGTTCAGATTAAAATACTAACTGCATTTGAACCCATGATTCTCTCCGTATCCACCCCAATAAAATATTTCTATCCATTTTCGTAAAATTTTAAAATGGGCGGGTTGTTTGTTGATTTGTGTGATAAACGGTCGATTTACGGTTGTTGAGGGATACAATTGTTTTTAAATTGTATGAATTAGTACAATATATTATATTCCATTAAAAAAGTACAATCAAATAAAGTATCTAAAACATCACACAACAATGTAGGGAATTTCAACCATTGATCTTAAATAACAAAATTGCCAACTATAGATATTGGTTTACGCTTAAATTTAATAATAATTGACTTGCGACTACTTTGAGTATTATATTTTATTTTATTTATCTCACAATAATACGGTATACGCTATACAAAAATCTTGAAAAGGATTTTTCATGATTACCAATTTATTTTTATGGTTAAATTTATTTCTTATTTACTTGTTGATTTAAGTGTGTGGGTTCTATACTTAAATCTCATATAGTCATATTGTATAAACTATAAAAAATAAGCCGAATTCAGTGGAACCACTTTTTAATTTTATATCAGTATATTTTTACCGAGTGGAGTCAGAAATAAAGCTAGTATAGATTTTAAATATTAATCTATATAATAATTTATACTTTAAATATTTAAATAATATTATTATACTGAAGTATGATGTACCTCCGGAGTGTTCTACAAAATAATAAAATTTATTACATAGAAACCGGAAATCTGTGTACTTTGTTATATTTAACTATTAGGATCACACAATAAATTCATTATAATATTATATAATTATTTAAAGTTTATTAGTTTAATGGGTATTATATTTTAAACAAACTATTATTATAAACAATATACCCGTGTCTCATATAAAGTGCGCAGTACGAAAATTTAGGTATTTAGCCTTTGATTAAATAACATTTTGTTGACACGATACAGATTAATTATCTAAATGTAATATTATGTATAATATCTCCTTTATCAAGCTATACTTTGAAATTACGGTTTGTCGATACAATATTAATACTTATCAAGGTTATTCTAGTTCTGGGGGCGTTGATAATAATAATAAAAAACACAAAATACGCCAAAGTAAAAGTAGGTGTATACTCATAATACTATGTACGAACGGAATAATGTAAAAGAATCGTTTTAAAATGGATAAATAAGCATTGTAGTCACATACTATACCTATAGGGTGTCATAGTTGATGACATTTATTTTGCTGAAGACGGTAAAATAAAATAATATGTTGTACGACTTTCTATTAAAATAGCGATGTTCTTAACGTATTATTACGTAATCAATATTTGTAATTATCTGATAAGTTTTTGGCAGTGATGTTTTGCATATGCCTATGCAATATGATATAACTTGACCTTGAGTGTCGTGATTTATGATTAAAATAAATTTAAATTTTGATTCGACGGGAAATTTATTATATAGTTGCGTACTTACATGTAATTATAGTATTAAACGCAAAAGAAAATACAAAATAAACTGAAATGTTTATATTTCAGAATAAAGCCAACGGCCTCGTGTAAGTATAGGTAGGTAGGTACGAAGTACCTACTTATTGGTGGTGTGATATTCATGAGAGATGTATATACATATTATAGTTAACGTGCGCCAGACACTTGTTGCGAAAGTACCATCAATCGTGACAGCGGAGAATCTATTTTGAAAGATAAAAAAATAGATAGAAGATATGCATAAACGTGTTATAGTTGATACAAAAATTAAAATTATAAAAAATAAACAGACGACCACAATATCTACGTAAACTCCCGAATAACGGACTGACATTGTTGCAAAGACGGACTTAATATAATATTTACAATTACAAACCTATAATATAGCTGTATATATAATAATATATGTCATGACTTATGACATATCGCTACTTATATGGAATATTAAAAGACTAAAAATCTGGTGCTCGGACTACGAGACAAATACCACGCATTGTTCTAGCATAATATTATGATAATAATAATAATAATATTATGTACCTGCACAAATATTACGATTAATTTACAACGGGAGAACGTACCTATCTACTGCAACGTGTGCGGAGCTTTTCTAATGGTTAAACTCTTGCAATCCATGCCCGCTGCGGAGCGCCGTGACTCAATAATGTGATATATATATTATATTTGGAATATTGCGATTTACGGTGGATGTAAATTGTATTTATGTATAATATACACTCGGATGAAATGTGTAGCGGCCGGGTAATACAAACGCACGAAGTTATTAAAATTGTAAGATTATCACAATATTATTGGAGCAACGTTCGTAAATAAAATCGCATAAGTCGCCGTGGACGGATAAAAATCCAAACACGATAGTAAAATACAAAGTTATTATTTACTAATTTACTATAATTTCGTTCGCGGACGTTGAGAAAAATCGATTAGGTGTATTTTAATAAAAATCAAAAAAAAAAAATCGAACGAAAGAAAACGAATGAATAACAGTGAAAATAGATAGATGAAGATTAAAGTAATGAAAAGGTACACTACTGATAATGATTAATATTGTTATAAAAGCCTGTCCGTCGCGATCACCGGTCGAAAATCGAATCTACAGCGCCGCGCGGTACTCGCCGGACTGCGTGCTGCTGCTCTCCGCGGGTCGCCAGTCGCCACCGCTCGGTTGCGAACGCGACGCGCGCGCGTTTTTTCCCTCCTTGACCCCTTCCCCAAGATACGCGCAACTTACGCGGACGACTACGCGTCGCTAGCGCCTCATAATTACATTTTACAATTATTATTATTACTCACTAGTAACGCAGCTGTGATATTATTATTGTACTGTTCGAGCCTATCGCAGAAAACCAGTTTTTTTCTTATAGCGCTAAGGTGTAAACACAATTATATTATTATAATATATATATTATTATTGTAATAATATTGTGCACATCAGTCATCGTGTGACGCGCCCGTTTTGTTTTGGACACACACACGCGCGCGCCGTCTGTCATGGTCTCTCGTTTCGACGCGTACTGCAGCCGCGTGCGTGCGTTTCTGTACCTTCATTACGCACATTATTATTATTATTATTATATAGGTACACCTACTCGTATATCAGTAATCACTAATTATTAGTGCAGATGTAATTATATAGTTATGATATTCATTTATTATTAGTTAATTATTTATTATTTACCTACTATACCTACATTGTAGACTGTATAGTATTGTAGGTACTAACTACATTGGAACTGCCAGCTTATAATTTCGATATGATAGAAAGATATTAGCATATGGTTATATTATACATTTATACATATCTACTACTTAATAAAGAGGCTCAAATCGTTAGTTGCACATCGCACACCTAAATAAATAAATTCATGTTGATGTAAATACTAACTATACAATATACCTAGTTAGAAGACTTAGAACTATAAACTCCAGATTTTTATGCTCTAAAAAAAGATCAAAATAATATGCATTTATACATTAACCTTGAAATACGTACCTAGGTACCCAATTATATGACCCCCAGCTAAAAGACATATTTTTCATGTCAACATTTATATTATTGTTTAAAACATTTTAAAATTTAGTTAACTAGGGAGCAGTGGCGCAAATCAGCAAAATATCAGAATTTAGGCGGCTTATACAGTTGTACTGAAAGGCCGAAGGGGGATCTTCATATAAGTTAGGTTTAAAAAAATATTAATCACCATTTACCACTCTCCTGGTTAAGCTTTTGTACGCTTTAGTATCTATTGCTACTTTGCTGTTTTGAAAAGTTTTTGAATAATACTAGTATTATATAATATTAATATTAATATATGATTTTGAAAGACGCATGATCAATACAAATTACAATTGGGTTTGCGCCGTTTGCATCATGCGCATGACGTCGTTATACATTTTTAATATAGGTAGTAGGTACAGTTATAAATCCACTAATACAAGTTATACAATTATTAATTATGTATAAAAATGAATACTGTACGTTTGTTGTTTGGAAAGTTTCAAAAAAATACCTCATATTATTATATTAAAAATGTAAGAATGTTAGACATTTGTATATCACACAATAGGTCCTAATGCCCTATTGTCGATAATTTCTGAACTGATTAATAATTTTAAATAAAACCTACTTCATTTTTCAAATAGTTTTGATTCTGTATAATATATTATATGATAAATAATACATTAAATATTTATATAAAGTACCCATATAAACAAATTACAATTTTAATTATATTTATTTAGTATTAATATTTAGTAATAATATAATTTATGTATATGTTGTTAGCAAATAATAATACAGAGGCATGGTGCATGGCCGCAATGAAAATCAACAATGCATTTTAAATATATAGGTAACATTTATTTACATGAATAAATCAACACGCATTCAAATTTAAAATAAAACGCGCATAGGTACCTATACTCCATACTTCCATAGTATAGCGGGTTTATAAAATCACGATCAACTATAGGCTATTTATGAGGTTTTCGCATAATCACATATTATTCACATATCAGTATATTTATATTTTATATTTATCGTTGGTACTTACGCATAATTTTGTATTCTGCATGTATAAGTAATAAATAAAGAAAATAATAAAACTTTATTTTTTTAGCCATCATTTTATTTAAATATTACTCTACTTGATGTCTTGACTACCTACTAGAAATATGATAAAATTATTACGTTATATAATATAGGTAGGTTACTCCTTATTACTTCTTTGTGATACTTGAGCATATTTGTTTAAATTACGAAATCGCTGAAAACATAGTTCATAATATTATCACATATATAATATATATGTATAGAAGGGAGCTTCTTGTCAAATCCATGGGTGAGAGGGGGGGATATTTTAAATATACGATACTATACATTATACACATCTCATTTTTTCCTATTTATTGGAACATGAGTCAAGAGGAGAAATTGAATACACTTAATATCTTAATAAGAAAAAACATTTTCTAATTTCTTTATAGCATATAAATATTTTATGTTTTAATGACTTTGATGATCATTAAAATAATTTTGTACTTACATGTTTACACACGCCAAGGGGGAGAGTGACCCCCTCAAAGTACCATCATTGATCACATTGTATTATACATAGTAGAGGGTGTCCGCGATCACTCGGCCAACGCGCCCGTTGCTAAAATATAATCTTATCATATTTTTTAAATATAGGTAAGACACTTGCCGAAACACGAATTGCTTGACAAAAAATTTATATTGACCTTAGAAAAAAAACCAAAAAAAAATCTACGGCATTAATTATTGAGTCTGTATACAGAACAATTAGAGCATATAGACATATGTTGCGAGTTTTATAAATTACTATAATTAGTATATTACGATATACGTATATTTCGGTTTTTTTTTATTTTAGTTTTGTAATCTCACAATAATTGCCCCTAACATTTATGAAAGAAATTTTTAATACAGAAAACCAGTACAATTGTTTATTTAAATAATATATTAAAGTACCTGACTACTTTTATCATATTTATTTTTAAAAAAATAATTTTTTATTCTTAATGTTTTGGCTAGTTAGTTTATTCGTTTTTTAAACTTGATGTTATTTCTAATGATATCGGAAATTTTACATTTTGTAATTAGGTACTATTTACCAATCACCAATATATCATGTATTATATTTTTCCAATTTTCAATTTTAATTCTGAAGACATTGAAAACAAATATACATGACTAATCATATTATAAGAGGATACATAGGTATTGTAGTAGTAGCTATGATATGCTAACTACCTATAGGTATTAAGAATTCAAAAATTCAAGCCTATCAAATTTTAAACAATAATAAATTAATAACTTTTACAATATTAACAACACAGGAAGATGGCCCAAGATGCATGCATTTGTATAACTTGTTATATTTAATATATACAAAAGACATAATGGTATAATTGGTATCAACTATTCATTGCCTATAAATTCAAGCCGGGACAAGTTAATAATAATTCTTAATTGAGTTAAGTTAAGTTGTTTGAAAACATTTTAAAAAGTTTTAAGTTCATAGTTTTCCTAACTTTTTTTACTTAGTTAAGGCGAAAGTTTTATGGAAAATTTCGATTAACTTACTGATTAAAGTTAAGTTATTTTTTTAATGTATAAATAGCCAGCTAAATGGTTTAAAATAATAAAAAGTAAATGTTTATGCAATATGTATCATCAATAATAAATGTCTTCTATTTATTATTTAATTATTTATAAAATAACTAAATTGGAGTTTGTTGTCTCTGTCTTACAAATGTATAACATATCAAATTTCCGACGCTTGAGCACAGATAATGTTCTTACCTATAACTTTTATTATGGATTAATATACTGTAGTATCAAAACTAACAGTACACTATTGAAACTATAAATAAAAATGTTCTGTCCTATACTTGTGTAAGACGGAGAAAATAAATGCATGAATGTAGAGTTCTCTAAAAAAATATATAATATTATTGCGGGTTATGCATATAAAATCAGTGTATGCGTTTTTTGTGAAGTAAAAAATGTGCTCTCTTCCATATATATTAACCGGATTTCCTTTAGAATTAGAAAACTTATAGTTAAACAAAATAAATATAGGTTTTTACCATACGCTTATAATCCTAATCGTTTGTATAATTTAGTATATAAAATTATAAATAATAATATATATAATATTAAATAAACCTGCGTCTACACTTTACACATTACACAATGTATGACTCTTAAATAAAACCATTCATTTATAATTACAACTATAGTACATACCTATACCTACTATTAGTAATTACTACTAAGTAGTATACTGTATATATTCGATAAACTTATAAAGCTACTAGGTATAATAGTATATATTACATACAATATATACAGAGTGGTTCACCAAGTATGCTGACTCTTAGTCTTCCTTTTATAATGAGTTTATTCAAATTTTGTTGATTTTTAGAATTTAAAAAAAAAAAGAATCAAAGACCATATTTTTAAATTCTATAGTTTTTTTACCACTTAAGGAGTGTTCTACGGTGATAAAAACTTTTGTTTTCAAATTATAACTCCCCCTTTTTACCTATAGGGACCTTTTTTTTGAAAATGTAAAAGTAACTCATTTAAAATAAATTCGAATGAGTAGATAGTTTCTCAGTTATTAAAATGTTTGTACCTACTAGGGATAGTAGTTCTTAAATATGGTTTTACAAAATTATAAAAAAGATTTTATTTTGGATCTAGTATTTATTATACTTGGACCTTTTTTACAAATTGTAAATGTTTATAAATTAAAATTAATTGAATACTAAAATTTCAAATGACCATAGCTCTCATATCTTCAAACCCTATTTTCGTGGACGTATTATCGTTATTAGTAGGTAATAGGTATAATAGGTACAAAAAGTTAAATAACTCAAAAACTCTTTCGAATTTTGATTTTGATTCAAAATGTTCAGATAAACTATTCCCTAAATAATTTACAGTAGAAAAGGGAATTTTTCATTTGAAAAATAAATTTTTGTATCTCCACATGATACTTTAATTATTATTGTAGTTCTAAAAATCTGAATAATTTTAAAATATTGTATTTAGGTATATTTAAAAATTTTAAACATCAGAATTTTATTAACTGCAATCTGCA